CATATGTCTTACGGGTCTCTTCCGTTCCACTAGGCTCACTAGCCTACTAGGCTCACTAGCCTAAGTCACACACTACTAGGCTCACTAGCCTAGCTCACAGTCACACTCAATCTTAGCCTGCGATATCCTCATCTACGGCTAACACTGACGGCCGCTCTCAACCGCCTAACCTCCAAACCGCTAACGGTTTAACCGTCCAACCGCCGTACACGCACGTCGGCGTTCACTAGTTCAAACCCTAAGTCGGGCCGAACCCTAATGACAGTAATTCGGCTGACTATCATCACCGAATCTTAACACTTCGGTAGACGATTCTGCAGGTAGTGACTTTTTGGGGTAACAGCTGTTAGTTCACCCCCTCCGAACAGAAGACGCGTCCTTGCGGATAGGGAGAAGAAGAAGAAGCTGATGATACGGTACAATATGTACAAATGGTACCGGATAAACACTTTACAGAGAAGACGATCCCCCAGAGCTTTCCGTGCCCCCGTACTATCACAACCGACGGTGAAGCTGAAGCCCGCATACTGCTTAGCGAAGATCCTTCGTATACCGTAGTCAAAACCACATTCTGATGACGGCGCAGCTGAAGGTCGTGACTAAAATACTGATCAGACCAAACGTAGTACACAGTGATGCCGAGATCACCATATTGATGAATCATTAGTGACGTGAACTATGAAGAAATGCCCATGGACAGCGTCGAGCATATGAATCTCCATTTCGATTACCTGCCACCGACGCGGCTGACGGTCCATAGGCTCCAAAATGAATTTCCGTTCCTCACTGACATAAACGGGCGGTAAGCCGACGTGCTGAAGCAGATGGGAGGACTTGACTGCCGCTGACTTGAAGGAGGCTCGGAAGGAAACGTGAGACGAGAAGGAAGAGAAGGCCTAGTCGGCTGTACGCTGACTGGCGGGGAAACAGAGGGCTAAGAGGAAGCTGGAGGGACTGCTGGCGATGAGAGAGCAACTGCAATCGGTGCTGCAGTGGGAACCAAAACAGAAGTTGGTTGCACTGGAAGAACTGGATGCGAAGTGGAAGAAGAAGGCGAAGCTTATGAAATTGACACCATCTGCTAAATAGCAGCCTGCGCCAAAGAGGAAGGAGGCACTACCGACTGCTCACGTGCTGGCGGAGGCTCACAAACGACTGCAGCCCAGTCGTCATAAAGTAAACACTGTGCTTGACCAACCGCTCGAGACGGAGCTAAAAGTAGACAATGTCATCCCGGATTGCCTTGCTGGAATACCGCGGCTCCTTTCGCATAATCCACTGGACGAAGGACACCCCGTTTGCCTGAGTCCGGCACACCATATCGACGCTCTCGTCCCCGGTATATCTATATTCCCCTTCCCCCACTCTCCAACATCCGCTTCAGACAGTCCGTGAAGATAACGAGAAGAGGATCCTGAAATCCTCCGCTCGACACTGCTGATAAGTTCCCCGGCTCCAAAGATCGGCAAGCAGCTCAACGGTTAGAGTATACTGACCGTCGTCGTTCTGTTCGTCCTATTCGTCGATACAATGAAAAAAGAAGTACGCCCATGCTTGATGACAAACGGCGACGTGTCGTAGAAGCGTCGTCGTACCGCAACAAAGTTGCCGAAGTTGCCTCGGGAGGCGGAACTTGGACTTGAAGTTCAGGAGGGTTTGCAACCGAAGGAGGCGAAGCATCACGAAGGTCTTCAGAAGATTGAGGAGGAGCCGGGTGCCGAGGTCAGCCGAAGTAACATCTGAAATAAAGCAGAAAGATTAGAGTACAAAAGAATGGGCCTTGAAGTTCAGGTCGCTTCAAACGTCGAGTGCCTGACGACTCCGCAAGTGATTTTGAATAGAAGAAAGTGTTGAAACACAGCGTTGTTGGAAGTGATATTCAATCAATCAAGTTCACACAATGTATAT